AGCCCGATGAGACAAAGTAGAAATGCTCCGTAGGATTTTCTAGACTATAATCTTTATGGGAGGAGATTGCCAGGGCTTTTCTGCTGCAGAAGCGCTGGGTAGGTTCGAACTGCCATCTTTTGGTTAGCAGTTGAGCACTTAACCTTTGTGCCACCAGGGCTCCATTCCCTCTTCTATTACTCTCTTATTTTTTCCACTTGAGTTACACTGGCCACCTTGCTTTCCTTGAACACACCAGACAAACTCCTTGTCATAGCCTTTGCACAGGCTTCACTGCCTTGAGTGTTCTTCCTCAAGTGTCTGCATGGCTAGCTCTCTCACTTCTTTTCAGGTCTTCACTCAAAAGTGACCTGATAGAGAAGTAAGTCCTCCCTAGCTAGCCTATCTAAAATGACATAGTCTCTTCTTCCCTGTTTTATCTTTTTCTCCTTTGTCCTTTCACTAATGTATATTTTATTCCTCCCTTGCTAGAATGTAAGCAGCATGTGAATGGTGCTATTGTTGTTATTGCCTTAGAGTCTGTCAACTCATGCGGACCCCATGTGGGTATGGATCACTTATCAACAATGAGTCTCTTTTGTTCATTGCTCTATTTCAAGGGCCTAGAACAAGGTCTGGTACAAAGTAGATGTTCAGTAAATATTTGTTAGTAAATAAGTGACTAGGAGTGCTTCATATCAGCCATTAACTTGACCTTGGATAGGTCACTTCCCTGTGTAGACCTCTTTCCTTATCCTTAAAATGAAGTTTGATTGGATTAGTGTTTTAGGCTTTCTTAAAACAATGAAGGCTTAAATGTAAGTAGCATTGAGGTACTGTGAAGGTTTTTATAAGAATTCTGCTGCTTAACAAAAAAGTTTAAAAATTATTGGACTGGCCAACACCCATTCATGACAAAAACTCTCAACAAAACAAGAATAGAAAGGAAATTTCTCAATATAATTAAGGGGATTTATACAAAGCCAACAGCCAACATCATCCTGAATGGAGAGACTTTGAAAGCCTTCTTGAGAACGGGAACCAGACAAGGTAGCCCTCTATCACCACTCTTATTCAACATTGTGCTGGAGGTCCTAGCCAGAGCAGTTAGGCTAGAATAAGAAATAAAGGGCATCCAGATTGGTAGGGAAGAAGTCAGAGTATCTCTATTTGCAGATGATATGATCTTATACACAGAAAACCCCAAAGAATCCATTAATAGAACTGATAGAAGATTTCAGCAAAGTTTGAGGATACAAGATAAACATACAAAAATCAGTTGGATTCCTTTACACCAATAAAGAGAACCTCGAAGAGGAAATCACCAAATCAATACCATTTACAGTAGCCCCCAAGAAGATAAAATACTTAGGAATATATCTAACCAGAGACGTAAAAGATCTATACAAGGAAAACTACAAGACACTACTGCAAGAAACTAAAAGAGACCTGCCTAAGTGGAAAAATATACCTTGCTCATGAATAGGTAGACTCAACATAGTGAAAACGTCAATTCTTCCCAGAGCGATCTACAGATACAGTGCAATCCTGATCCAAATTCCACCAGCATTTTTTAATGAGATGGATAAACAAGTCACATATGGAAAGGGAAGAGGCCCCGAATAAGTAAATCATTACTCACGAAGAAGAACAAAGTGGGAGGCTTCACACTACCTGATTTTAGAACCTATTATAACGCCACGGCAGTCAAAACAGCCTGGTATTGTACAACAGATACATAGACCAATGGAACAGAGTTGAGAATCCAGACATAAATTCATCCACCTGTGAGCAGCTGATATTTGACAAAGGCCCAAAGTCCGTTAACTGGGGAAAAGACAGTCTCTTCAACAAACAGTGCTGGCATAACTGGATATCCATCTGCAAAAAACTGAAACAAG